TAGGGTGATTTACACGGCATTAAGTGAAGCCTGCAAAAGTGAGCACTGGGAGTCAAGAGACCTGGGTATGAATCAGGAATGGCAGCTCCTGTGAGTTGTTAGAAAGGAGATGATGCCTTCTTTTCATTTCTATAACAGCAGCACCTAGCACAGTGCCTGTTCAATAGGTACTCAGCATGTATTATCTCAATGCACAGAGTCAAATTTTGCCAAGGGGGCAGGAAAGCTACAAATCAGCTAATGGCAACTTAGTGATTGGGCTTGTGTGTGTGAGTGAGCTGGGTGTCAGGCAGTGGGTAAAGTAGTGAACTAGAGGTGAGACGACAATGACACAAACTCAGGGCTTCTCTTCCCACGTACTTGGCTGAGAAGAGAGATGTAGTAGTAGTTAAAGGGAGATACGTGGTAAAGAAAGCCATTTATTCCAAGATTCGACAAAAGCATGAATATACTTCCATGTTAAAGGGAGACAGCCAACACAGAAAACCCATTTTTTGAGGTTAGAAGAGAAAGAAGAACGAATGCACAAGGGCCCCAAAAGGCACACGTGCATGCAATCCAATCAGAGACAGATTAGCTTTGGACTCCTACAAAAGCAAGAAGGGAGAAAGGACCATGTGACTCTAGGGATATTTCTGGTAGAGGAAAGGCTTAGGAAAAGATCTTTTGATGACCTTTATTTTAACAGACTTAAAAAAAAAAAAAAAACTACTGTGTAAAAAAGGATATTATGTACAGAAAAGTCTACACTTCTTGATACAACGAACTAAAAAAAAGCCTGATACACTAAACAAAACCCAAATAATGTCTTCCCTAAAAGTGGGCAGCTTGAAAAGCAATTTGAGCAAAAACCAAGGAGTTCAATTACAAATAAGCATATCAACAAAGTGAAAGATGGGTTTAACTTTTCCCACAAAAAGTTAAAAGAAATAATAGCAACTTTAGAGGAAGAGGAAAAAATAATTAATAAGAAAATTATAAGCAATTGCAAAATGTGTGAATATTTACAAACTCTAACATATAACTACGAAACGGACCAGAAGAATCATTATCATAGGAAGCAAAGGGTCATTTCAAACATCAGAGAAGGAAGGATGATTCATATTTAATTTAATTCTGTGAAAAATATTTAAGTAATATTTGAGGACAAAAATCAGTGATATGTTGAAATGTGGGAAACCACAGTGGAAGGAAAAAGAATTCAAGAAAGCTCAGTTTCAGTAACCAGTGTCTAGGAAAATCTTCAGGATCTGGAGGTTACAATCTGCGTTAATAGTGTCTGAAGACCTAGAAATGTCATTAGATACCATTTTGGACAATTCTTGTAGACTTGAGATGATGTCTACTTAAAGTTACAAAATAATGCTTGTATTTCTGTATTCATTACAGAAAACAATTGGATATGGAAAGGAAACTAGCATGCTGTGCCACAATCTCTAAAGAAAGATTAGGGAAGTTTCAGCTTAAAGCAACAATAATCACAACAAAATTTTACAATCCTTTGCAAGCATATATGAAAAACATACAAAAGTTTGTAATGATCTTTTCTTAAGCTAAGAGAACAGAAAACATGAGAAAAATTAAATTATAAGATGAACCTTTGGTTTAGAGGTAAGAAATCTTTTACGACAGTCAGGAGATCAGGGTTGCACAGTGTATTATGTGAATGTTGTGACTCATTGGTTTCATCTTGGATATCGTAACTTAACATTTTGTAAAAGTGATTTTTCATGAGAATTTTTTCAGGTGCCCTATAAAGTCCTGTCCCACGAGAAGCGATTAATAATCTTCCATATTCTTAAGATATCTTAATGGCATCTTCTACAGTCTTCCATTGTTTTGTTTAGGTAAACCTGGGAATCATGTTTGGGTATCGTCTCATCCAAGTTCTTTACCCATCCCCATCATAAGTCAGGAAGGTCTTGGATATTTTCTGCTCTAGCAATTAATTCATCATTAATCCTGGAGTTACTTGCTATTCCAGTAATTTGTCCTACTTCACTTCCCGTAAGCATGATGAATTGAACCACCATTAACTCCTAAACCATATTACATTTGTACATCTGATTTGACTTTGTGACCAAAGGTTCTATGTCTATCCTGTAATTCTTGCCTAATATGAAACTTACTTTCAGTAGAGATTATATTTCTGCATTCATGCACCTATGCCACTTGCACTGTTACTGCTGGTCGGGCTTTCCAGGGGTCATGATAACCTCCTGGGTTCTCTGGAAGAGGGACATATTCTTCAGGATGACATTGTAATATTTTGTTAGCTAAAATCGTCTATCTAAACGGATAGTTCCTAATGTCTTGAGTAATAAATCTGGTACTTTTTATTTTTCTTTGCTCTTCGAGTTGATGTGGACAATTCCTGAGGTTGGATAATCAGGCCAGTATCAGACTG